GAAGGGCCTCTCCTGTCTCAATAAAGCTAAGAAAAACTAGGAAAAAGAAAGCCTCCCATCACACAATCTCTGTGTGTGTGTCGAAACTGAGATATATCTAGGAAAATAAACAAGAAAACTGATGAACTATGCATCCGAATTAACACAAATAAATCATACAATTATGGTTAGTTTGAACTTGGTTAAGAACATTGTTCAACTCGGTTGTGGATGCTTTTCTAATGGAAATCACATTTTACAAAACTTAAGCTTAAAGGAGACAAATGATGAAAGTTTAGCATAAGAGCTTAAAAGATCATGGACATCTCATACCAAAAGATGAAAGTATCTCATACCATTGCGAAATGGATTTGGATTGGATTCTCACATTCTAGGTTAGCTAGCATGCTGTCAAAGCAAAATATCTAAGTTTTGTGTCCGGCAACTGTTGTATCAATCCAATATAAATCAACCAATAAATGGTCTACAATGTAATAGGAATGAAACAATAGACATTAATGCTAAGATTGTGATTTGAGCCCTTTATATTGCGTTAGGAATGTGTGTCTTAGAATTCAAATAAGGCTAATTGAGTCCTTGATAATCATGTAATTATGACCTAACTTGTAGGCTAAGAAAGTGGGATTTGGTTCTCTTTTATGGGCGTAGCCCTAGTCTCTTAGCTAGTATAAATATACAGACCCCTGCAAGCCGTAAAACACACAACAAAACACTTCCCAATGAGTGGTTGTATAAGGCTAGGAGCTTGTAGAAGACTTCGATATTGGATTGGTGTTTCTTCCTCCTTCAAACTCATTCAATGGATGCCGCTGGAAGTACTTCAGGTTTGCCATCGTTTCTCTTATTTTTGTTTTAGTTGTATCATATCACGCATAAGATCCTATATATGTCTCCAGTAAGCTTTGTACGTATGTTACTCGCAAAAAGAAGTCAAACGTAAGGGAGAGTGTATAAGCATCTTCTTGTGGAGAAAATAAATCGACCTGGAGTTTTCTTTTGAACTGGCTTAATATCATATGATGTTCCTAGTCGTATATAATGTATAGACCAATTTTTGTCTCCTATGCATGAATTATATGCGCACGGGCTTGTGCATGAGCTGATGTGATGAATTATCGGCCCTCCACTTTTGGACATGAAAATGAGTGGTTGTGATGAGATTAAAGGAAAAAGCTGCAGCAAAGATTGAAGCAGCCAAAAGAAAACCATAAAAGAAGATAAAGGGAGGGAAAAAAGGGGATTCGACTTTCAACTAAGGAAAAAATGAGGGAAAAACCGAAACAAAAAAACCCAAAAAAAGAAAAATTTTCTTCTTCCTCACAATCAAGGATAAGGGGTTATCAATGTTATAAGTTTCAGATAGGTTTGAGATGATCGAGAACAAAACTCTATCCAAAATTTGATGCTTATGACACTGATAACCCATTATCCTTGATTGTGAGAAAGAACCTAAAGTGAGCTCTCCACGCATTGTATTTACAATGAAAAATATTGGTATTCTGCAATCTGCATTGACAAGCAGCACAAAGCAATATTGATCACAGCAGCAGGTTAAGTATTTTTACAAGAACATAATCTTCTATTTAAACTCTAAAGTCCAACCCTAGTTGGTTTACATAATTATATCCAAGAAAATCTAGAGTTGGAGTTCTATTTGGTGAGCTATTCCTTGTGCTTCAAGTAATAGTAATACCTGGTTTTAATTGCCAAGGCGATAAGGGAGTTTTGTAAAGGAAGTAATCCTATGGGCTTTAATATTCTAGTTATAAGCTAATTAGGGCTTCTTTAATGCATTAGTGGGTAGGACTCTAGAAGCATTGAGCACTATACAAGGTTTAGGTCTTGGGCTTTGATTAATATTCTAGTTATAGGCTCACTAGAGTTTCTTAAATCCGGTAGTGGGTATGAATCTAGAAGCATTGAGCACTATGTAAGGTTTAGGTTATGTGCACACTTCAATCACAATTGTTAATTGTCAGTTATAACCACCAATAAAATTTTGACATATGACACATAATAATTCAAAAATATATAGCATAATGAGAAAACATAAAAAACCAAATGTTTACATAACGGACTATCTCACATTGTCATTACACATTATTTTGCTTCCACATGTCATTACACTGTTGGTTATAATTGATAAGTAAGAATTGCTGAAGGAAAGACTAATTTTCCTTTGAATTTGACGAAATAGTGGATGGAATCTACCGACAAGGGGTCAATTGGCTTATTTCAAATAGTTCAGAGAGTTAATTTACCAAAAAAATAATAGCTCAGGGAGTCAATTTCAACTAGAGTAATAGTTCAAGGGTTCAAATGATAGTTTACCCTTTCATAAATCTAGGGGTATTCAATTAGGATTTTAAGTGATTCTTTGAAATTCAAAGTGTATTCAATCAGAATTTTAATATAGTTAACTAAAATCCTTAGAAATCCGATTGTATTCAATTAGAATTTTACAAAAGTTAATAACATTCAAGATGTAATCAATCATGAATTGATTTTAAATAAGCTTACACATATTATTGATATTGTTAAAGAAAACATTCTTGAGCTTAAAGCAATGTCTAATCCATATAGAAAAAGAACAATTCTCATGTAATCCTTCGCCAAATGTATAGTAGCTTTGTATAGCTAGCAATACAGGATACATGAATTAATTTGTACTACAACCAACTCAAAAGCTATGCAAAAAGTTCACTAATTTTTCAAAAGCAAACTCTTTTTGTAAATGCAATTGCAAAATGCATGCCTTGGAAATCTTAATCAGTAGTAGTACCACCAACACTTGTAGCATTTTTGTTTTCAGCTGAAATTTGAATCCTGACAAACTGTAATTCCATTTCTAACCGGAAATTCTTTTCCTTCTCGTTGTCAAGCGTCCTCGGCCTCTCAATCTCCTGCCTCATTTGCTCATCTCTACTCATCTCTCAACCTACTTCATGCGCTCCTCTCAACACCCTGATCAGATTCATCACATTCTGCCTCTGCTCTTCCAAGCTCCTTATCAATGCCATCAGTCCCACCACCATTGTTTCCCTTTCAAGTCCTCCAATTCGACCCACATTACCACTAAGTACTGGTTTGGTACTAAGGTGCTTTTATACAAAGTGGATATCAAAAAAAAAATGAGCTCAAAAAGGTGTTTGGTAAACACTTAAAAACAACTTATTTTCACAGTTTTTGGTGAAAAAAAAAGCTGAAAACGTGTAGCAGCAAAAATGAGCTTATTCTTACAGCACAGCAGAAGTAGTTTATTTTCAAAGCACAGCAATACCAAACCAGCCCTAAGGCTACCCAACATAGGTTTCATGTCAACACCTCTTATTCCTAGCTTACCCACATTACCAGTAGGGCCACCCAGCATGGCTTCATCACTTTCTACAGCCTCTTTGCCGTCGGCTTCTTCGACTGGTCTTGATTGAGGTAATAACCCACCAAGTCTTAAAAAACCTACGAGAACACTTGTTCTTGAAATCTTTGTTCTGGGTTTCGTAATCCAAAAACCAGAACCTCTTAGTTATCTTTAGAAGTAGAGACTTTGGTGGCAGTAGGTTAGACAGGGAAGGGCTGCCGCGAGCCAATTCCAGCACCATGATCCCAAACGACCAGATATCCACTTTGTTTCCTTGTGCAATTGTGTGACTTCAGGTGCCACCCAATACGGCGTTCCGGCAATGTTGGTTAGCCGAGTCAACAACTCTTCAGTTGAATTGGCTTCGTAGACTGAGGCAGAGACCCCGAAATCAGTGAGCTTGGCCGACCCATCTGGGTAGATCAAAATATTTTCGACCTTGATGTCACTATGAAGGTGGCCTTGATTGTGAAGATATGAAATGGCGTTTAACGTCTCTTTCAGCACGACAACAATGCAAGGTTTTGGTAATCTTCCCGGGAAAGAAGAGGAGATTATTGATTGTAGAGAGCCCACATACATGAACAGCATAACCATCCAAAGATGGCGGTAGACAGTGAAGGAGCAATGAGCGGAAAGAATATTGGGGCGGGAAAAAAGAGACAAAGTTGTAGCGTCACATCAAATGCTGTCAAAATCAGCCCAGGATTGATCGCAGTCGATGAACTTGATAGCCATGATGGCAGAGTTCATAAGGACGCAGACGGCCTTGGAGACAACAGCACTGACGCCGGATCCCATTTCGTCGAGGATTTGGTAGGAGGCGGGGTCCAACGGGAATTGGACCTTTTTGGGAAGTGGGTTTTCTTGGCTGGAAGAGGAAGAAGTTGTCATTGGATAAGAGAAAGATGAAATCTTAATGGATCGAAATGGGTTTTTGGGATTTCTGGGAAGTGGTTTTTGATGGAGAAGATGAGTGGGTTGTGAGGGTGAAAAAAAAGTAGGGTTTGAGCAGCAATCTTGTGAAAGGTTGATGGTGAGGCGATGAGGGTGGCTTTGGGACGATGCATATGAATGCCTACTGCTCTCTGTTTTATGGGGCTTTCCTATTCCAGTTGGGGTGGCATTATATATTTTGTTATTTAAACAAAATCTTGATTCTATTTTGAGGGTTTTTTTGGGAATTAGGATTGGGTGAAATAAAATCTTGATTTTATTTTTGTCGTTTGATTGAATAAATCAACTAGAAGAGAGAGATATGATTAAACATGAGAGTAAAAGAAGCTAAAAAAGGTGTTTGTTTGTTATTTTTCTAAATTTATTTAACCATTAGGGTGATTTGGAAACATATTCTATTATTGATTAAATGAAAGGGCGATTTGGAAAAAGGACCTCCAGAACTAATGTGGACTTGGACTATGGAGATGCATGTTGGTAAATTTGCTCTGATCACTAGTCAAAGACAATTTAATGGCGTTTCTTTCTTCGAAATTATGGCTCTATTCATGCGTTCTCATTACTTTGGGGGCTGAAGTAGAACTCTTAGCCAAGAGAAAAAAAGAGCATATCTTTTGGACACCCTACATTTACAATATCCCAATGATTAAGAAGTAACAAAAGCAAAGAGTGAAACAATAAAAACAGGTAGGAATCAGAAAAATGTATACACATATATAGGATATGGCCTTGCTACATGAATATCATAGAACCCAAAAAATAGACAGTGAGGGAAAATAGGGCAGATAGTAGGGTAACAGATAGTGGAATGCTTCCTTTGTCTTTCCTTATTAGCATTCCTTCAATAATAGGGTAGTTCATTACTATGACATAAAAGGCTATGAAGATTTGTATGAACATCTTGTCCAACTCCCCCACAAAGATCCCTCTAGCAATCCCCACAGCAAACGAAGCCATGTTCAAGATGACTAGGGCAACCATTGGAGCAAGAAATTGTAGTGATGTTTGGAAATCAAATACTCCCATATTGTAAAGCTTGAGTTGTTCAACGTCCCCGACTTTATTTGTTGGGAGAAAACTGGCTTCTCTCATACCAAGTTTCTTCATGAAAGCATCCACACTACCATATAAGTGACATGTGACTGACTTCATCATCCATATTCTCTGCTCATTTACCCAATGTTGAAATGTTGATCCTGTTGCGAGCACCTCGTATAAATGTTTTGAGAGCGATGATAGGAATACAAACGAAAATACGATAAAATACGTATTTGAAACCTACAAAGAACAAGAACATGATCGGCATGTGAATTACCTATAAGCACTCTAAAAAAGGGTAATGCTTTCTTATGTACTTACGTTTGTATAAAAGTACTCATATCAACAGACTATGAAATTGAATTTTGAACCATAAATTTTGTCCATAATCAACCATAATAAATGGTTTAGATTCATAATAATGCAAGTGAACATTTCCCTTGTTGCTATGAAAATTCTTAATCATATTTAAAGATATTTAACTATGTATAGTTATAATGAGAGGAAAACAAAATTTAATTACCTCGGGGTACAAAGGAATGCTATTGAGTAGACACACTTGAGGAATGACAGCAAAGCACCAGAGTGTCAAGAAATAGAAAATGGAGAAGAGAGCAATTTCTGCATAACACATGCTTTGAAGGAAAGTGTGGGTTTTGAAAGGGCCATATATAAGAGGACTGAACTTGGAGATAGCAACATCAACTAAGCCAGAAGACCATCTTGTCCCTTGGACCAAAAGCTCATCCAATTTGGTGATGCCACTACCCAAGAATTGTGGCCTTTTTGGATCACAAAACACTGAAATCCAACCTTTGCAATGCAAATGAAACCCTGTGAAGTAATCTTCCACCACTGAACCGTATAAGAAACCAACCTGCATGCCACAAATAAGAGTAAGATATCACCATTAGCATTAGAGGAATGCTAGGTTCAGTCACCTCCTGCGCAGGGTTATTATGATCTGTTAATACATTGCACGACCGACATGTATCAACTGCACACAATTGACTAAGCTTACCATAATTATTTTAATAAATTTATCTTTCAATTTTGGGGTGAAATGTAAGATTCCAATGGTTTAATTGTACTTGCCTCTTCACCCCATTTGGTGCCATCTTCATAGGCACAAGAGGCTAGTAGTGGGCTTTCATTTAGCTGTGCATTATTTCTCTCGATGAACATATGGTCAGGCTTGTTGATTTGGTGGAGGGATTTGACGAACTGATTGGATGGACCAAAACATTGTCTAAGTTTCATTGCATCCCCATCTGAAAGCATATTATGATATACAACAGAGAAAAATGTCCACGAATTAATTAACACATATATCTATAGTCGATCGATACATCATCCAACAGGTATTGCAGAAAATTTGGTCAATTAAAAAATATATATATGTAATTGACAAGTTCATAAATTTGATATATATGATATGCTTATTATATATTAAACCTAGTTAAGGTGTTTTAATTAAGACAATTTATATACTTACCTTCACTAATGGAACTTCCACGTAACGACACCCTCTTGATGTAGTAGCCAGTACCACACACACAGGGCCCTCCAAGCCCATCATAACCTTGCCATTGCAACTATATATATACAAGTGATCAAGACCAACTAGTCAAAGATTACTCTATGATGTAAATAATACATTTACTTATCAATTAATTAATGTAAAGTTTGTCCTTGAGTTCTTACGTACCGTAAATATTGATCTCAACTGACTGTCATAAATATCGTTGGTACTGATATTGTGAAATTTATGAGGGAATTGAACAAATGCTAGAGAGGGTGATATCTTAGGGTCAAGATGGAAGCACATTGCTTGCCGAGCCGAACTTGCATCATTGCAGTACATGTCACAATCTAACCCTAATATGTAAGGTGAATTGCTTATAACTCCCGACACACGTAGCTGATCAAAACAATGTCAATGTTCGCTTGTCAAATCATGTAGCAGATAAGTATTATTTAATTAGACTGTTAATCTGAATCATTGATTAAACAATTTATTATTTTTTAACACACAACAATCAATTGACAGCTTACATAATGGTAATGGAGAGAATATAACTTATAATTGAATTACAGAAAAAGATAAAGAGAGATGCATACATACAAGAACATTGAGCGCTCCAGCCTTGAAATGATGGGGATGAGAGGGTCTTTTCTCGCGAGAAACATAAACAAGGAGAGGCATATTTTTTGCTTCATATGTTTGAATTGCATCATCACCTTCACTAGACGTTTCTTGTATTACCTGCCAAAATTCAAGATATGATTCTAGGATTATTTTGTATTATATAATTAGAGATTTGTCTTTCCTTGCAAAAGTTTTCTTTATTTTTTTTTTCTTTCTTTCTTTTTTTTTTTTTTTTTTTTTGTTTTGTTTTGATTCTTATAGCAAGCCGGGCTGATGGTGAAAAAATTAATGGTATAAATGGTGTGGAGACCACTTTTTTCCTATTTGTTGGATATATTGGCAAATTGGGAAATAAATGGGAAAGTAGGCATGTGAGTTGTGAGGCAAGGCTTACTCTATCAACATTCTAATTACATGTTAATATGTTATGAGATAATAATTTGACTGTCACAAATTAGAACATCAATGGGCAGAAGGATGTGTCAACCAAGGAGAGCGACCCGATCCAATAATATATGTAAGGGAAACTTTGGATGTGGTGCCTACCTATGAATATTCTTTGACTGAAACTTTGTTAGTTTTTAATTTTTGATCGAAATTCCTGAAATTAATGTGATAATTTATTTCTATGTATGTTACTATATTTTTTAAATTAAAAATTGAAATTTATAGTTGTTTATATTAATGAGATTTTAAATTAAAAACCATAATTTGTGTGATTAAAAATATTAAAATATAAATGATACTATTGTGTGTGTGTGTGTGTGTGTGTATTTAAGCATGGGTACTTTCATCAAAGTTAACCAAAAAAATTTTGTACCAAAACATGGGTACATTCTTCAAAGCACAAAAAAAAAAAAAAAAATTGAAAAAAGATATTGGACTTAATAACATTAGTAAATTTCTTCGATTAAACTTGATATGGATACATTCTCACATCAAAGAAAAAAGAATGTACCCATGTAAGTTTAAAAATAGATTATAAAAAAATTGAATAAATTTTATATATAAAAAAAAGGGGTACATTTTACATATAACAAATTGGTATATTTAAGAATGAGTACATTTTAAGATTAAAAATTTGAAAAAATTACATGAATGAGTACATATAAGATTAAAAAATTGAAAACATTTTTTAAAAAAGCTAATGGGTACAATCTTATTCTATTTTTTTATTTTTTTATTTTGGAAATGTTTTGTAGTTAGGAGTTTAATAAAGGTGTGAGTATTAAAATTCTAAATCAATTATTAATTTTTATTTTAAAAAATTATGTAACTGACATGTAATAAGGTTTCAGTCAATAAACATTAGTAACTAGGGATCAATTATTAATTTTTATTCTAAATCAATTATGAAAACTAATAAGGTTTCAGTCAATAAACATTAGTAACTAGGGATCAGATACTAATTTTTTCTATATTTAATGTCATGTAAAGAGAAATTTACACATGACATTGCATAGACCGGAATGCCATAGTGGCAGTAAACCCTGATAAGTTCTTTTTTACCACCAAGCTTGAAAGCTCATTGGTAATTTATTTTATAGGTCCAAATAATTTGTAAAACTAAAGTACTAATCAACAAACAAAGTGATATGCAGGGTACAAAATAACAATACCTCAATGACTGCAGAGTGATCTCGACACATGTTGCTCCTGGCGTCCTCAATCCTAGCATTTTCTGTTACTCTTTTCTTAAACCCCTCGTATGCCTCCTGCAATCAAATCTTTACCATCAGCTTTGTTACTGAGAAATATCGTAATATTAATTGCAAAAAAAAAATCATCATGCACTCATTTCATGCTTTTTATCATTCTGACCATTTTCAGTATCTTCTCCAGAGTAGTGTTATATTTACCATCTATTTATATCATCTTTCTAATAAAGATAGGACCCACCAACACATGTGGATCTCATCTCTATTAGAAATATGGTACAATTGATGGTAAAAACAGATGGTAAGAATAACATTTTTGTTATAATTAACCTTAATATGCTCTTTCTCTTGTACGAACTCACTACCCCTGGAATCACCATCCTCATAGCCATCACCTCCTCCTCCTGCAGAGAAATAAGCCTCCGGAGCCGTACACTTGATCCCATACCTCCTACAAAACGGAAGCCACCACTTTGCAAACCTCCAAGCCTCTCTCATCCCATTCAAAGTCACGGCAGCACAGCCGTCATCAGATAGATACACATGAAGCTTCTCCGGTGGATAGTCCATTGCCATGGCTGATAACACCGTGTTCATAACCATCACGGTTGGCTCCTTCTCCGGATCCGCGGTGCAAATTAACACGTCAATTGCAGGAAGTTTGTCATTCTCCGGCAGCCTCTCTGGGAACACGGTTCGCGAAACAGTCCGCCAGCGAAATGATTGGCTGAGGAGCCATTCGAAGGCAAGGAGGATTTCCGAGGCAAAGACAAGAAGCCATGGTAGGGTTGTGGCTTTGGTATTGGAGTGTTGGAAGAAGAAGGAGGCTCTATAGTAAAACAAGAAGGCTAGAGCGATTGAGTGGACGAGGATATGTGTTCGGTTGATGAAGTTTGAAAGCTTGTGGACATGGCAAAGATGGAGAGGGAACTTTGGATTCTCCATAGCTTCTTATGTGGCAATTATTTGTGTTGCAGCACTCAAGCATGATAACAAGCAACACCCTCCACTCCTTTTAAAGGACCAATAACACTGTCTACTAAATAATTTAATAAAATTATAAGAAAAATTTAAAAGTTTGTTTCTTTTTCTGGATATTGTAATTAGTATGCGTTTTGTGGCTGACTTGTGTGATTAATATAGGAATGAGGACGACTGGTTACTTTAATTATCTTTACTAATTAATAAAATATTCATTGTCAACCAAAATCTTATGAAATTACCAGTTTGACCCTCTGAAAAAAAAAAAAAAAAAAAAAAATCTCACACACTTTGTGTATACTCATATGCTAGTACCTAACCTTTGTTTTTAAACGGTTCTAGCAATAGAGTAAAATAATTTAAACATGTGAAGTTCCTGTACAAAACGTAATAAAAAATCGACCTTATATGGTTAATTAATGGTAAAACTCTTTAACTACATAAATTAATTAGTGATTCCTTTAACTTGTTGTCATGTGATATTTTTTTTATGTTGATAATTGTAGTTGACGTCTAAGAATTGGCTACAATATTTGTCATTAAATAATGTAAAGCAAATTTTGACTAAAAAGACTAGAAAAGATATCTTAAGAGCTCCTTATAGAATTCCTACTAAAAACAAATGGAGTAGTTGGCGGTACACATCAGTTCAAGTCAAAATTGTATTCGCAACCATGAAGCTTCCTGCAGGCTGCATGCAATTTTGAGTCCCAAGTATCAGATTAGTCTCCTGAAAGAACAAGTGGTGATATGAGTGGTGCCCAAGACTCCATCATCTCCTGGAAAACATCTTCATTTTTTAGCATGTTTTGTTTGTCTTGATTCGTTTAAATTTGGGTGTTTTTCAGTTGGATTCATAGGTTTCATTTAAGATATCATTTTTGGTTTATGAATGGTTTGCCAATGCAAAAGTTTCCATCTTTTCTTTGTTGGATTCATGGGGTTTTCTTAAGCTTTCAAGTTTTTAGTTTTTATCAAGAAATTTTGGGTTTCATTTATTTTTCAAACTAGACACTTTTTTGTTTAAGATTTTCTTTATACTTCAGTAAATGATTGCTTCTTTACCTATAAATTTTCAGTTTGTTCAAAACCTGCAGTGAAGCACGGGCAATTTTTCTAGTGCATCTCGAAACGGGTAGGAAGAAATGATAGAAAATAAAATATAGCGGTAGCTAAAAGGATATCCTACTCGAGTCAGTGTTCAATTTAATCAATCAAAAGAGGTGAGGGTGATCTATTTTTTTTTTAAAATTTTTTTTTTTTAACAATACTTAGCTATTTAAATATGAGTAAAAATTTTTACTCAAAATTGTTCATTGTCAATTTATAAAACTTTGTGTTTATAATCAGAATCGTTCATATTACAAATCATCCTATAAAAATCGTCTTTGCAAAAAATCACTTAAAACTAAGATCGTTTAGTCATCAAACTTTTTTAAAATAAATAAACAATTGGTAAAATCATTACGAACCGTCTATGTATTTGCTGCAAAGCTCTGTATTTAATACTAAGGACAAAGCTCTGTGATTAAAATCACAATGATCTTTACATTGTGATTCATAATATGAACGGTTCTGATCATAAGCAAAAAGCTCTGTGATTAAAATACTAAGAGTTTTGAGTAGGAGTTCCTACTCATCTTTAAGTAGCCACATATTATTCTTCTTTATTTTTTTATCGAAGGGGACTTGTAGCTTAAGTAAATTTTTGTTGTTTGTTTTAGGAAAATTTAAGTAGTTAAGATGATTTATGAAAATTTAAGTAGTTAAGATCATAAGAGTATTTATGTAACGCATTTAGTGAATTCCTTCCTTAATTAATGAGTGCATTTTTTAGCTCACCCTCTAAAAGTAGAGGTGATGCCCATCACCTTGTTAGTTATCGTTAGATTAGTTTTGTTTGATTAATCTAAGACATGAATCATTTAAACTAATCTAACAAAAACCAATAAAATAAAGGGAGTTTTAACGAAAAGCCTGTGGTACTATTTACTTTAATGAAAATCACATTTTTACACTAAAAAGTCAAACATAATACTATTCACTTTACCCTTTATTTTTTCCTTATCGTTAAAACTCAAAATTTTTAAATCATTTTCATTAATTTTTCTTAAAATAAACCCCACTAGGTGGGGAAAAGTATTCCTCTAATTAGTCCACAAAGTTTAAGGGACGAAATCTTCGGATTTAAAGGTGGCCCCACTTGAAGAATTATTTCTAACAAAAAGAGTTTGGGATTTGTTTGCCTTCATGCATAGCTCAGTGCCTAAGAAAAGCTGCAATCCTTTGACCGAGTGTTCATTGGACTTCGGACCTCCAGAATTTGTATGGAAGATGAGCCAAGTCAAAGAATATAGGGTCGTTGTGATATAGATGTTTCATTTTTAAATGTCATAGATTAAACATTTTTTCTACAATTTTGGTATTTTAATTTTATTTCATTAGAAGTCTATTCATGTTAACATTTTCTTTTTTCCTCCTATTTTTATGCATCTCTTATTATGATGATTTAATATTTTTTTTATTAAAATATTTATTTTGGTAAATTAAATAGAATGTAACAAAACTTGTTGCGAGTTACGCTTGGTTATATCGGTATGTTTGATTATAATGGTATATTTGAATTTTTGGTCCATTTAGCTTCTTGGTACATTTGAATTTTTGTTACATTTAATTTTGGTACATTTGAATTTTTGATACGTTTGTCTTCAAAACATAAGTTTTATTATTTTTTTGTCCTAATAACAAGGAATTACTTTAATTATTATTATTTTTTTTATATAGAAAGAGTCGTTAACAATGTACTTTAGTTAATAATTTTTTTTATATATAGAAAGAGCCATTAATTGGACAATAGCCTTTCTGTTAATTCAAAATTATATGATTTATCGTTATTATTTAACATTATCTACAATAATAAGGATTTATCTCCGATCAACTAAAAGTTGTTCCACATACTTATCTATCAAAAAACAAGACCATCTAGAGCATTGTGCATGAATCAAACATATTTTTAAACATTCCAAAAAGATGAATATTCATTTTAATATAGTTTATAATTGGGTACGTTTTAATTCGGGGTTGGTACGTTTTAGTTTGACGTTGGTACATTTTCATTTAATGTTGGTATGTTTCCATTTGGCGTGGGTGTACATTTAATGTTGGTATGTTTCTGGTATGGGATAAGTAGATCAATCATCCAACCAACCTCTAATAACGGTCTTTTTTTTTTTTTTTTTTTGTTGGAGTTTGATCAGGATACATGGCAAGATTATGGTTTTGGATGATAGGAGGATATCAACAAGTTTAAAATTGATCATCCTTGTTTCCGTCAATAAATCCAGAACATATTTCCTTGGAGATAGAAATATGCCTTGTTTCGATCAAGCCACTTCTATACCAAAAAAAAATTACTTAAGCCCACCAAGATCTTTCATTTCGAACTTGGTTGCCAAGTAGTCCTTCAATTTCAAGATTTCTTCCTTATCATCCCCGATGACAATCATATCATCCACGTAGATAATGAGAGCCATTAACTTACCCATCCAATGTTTTACAAAAAGTGCATAGTCGAAGTTGCTCTGCTTGAACCCGTATTTTCTCATGGCCATTCAAAATCTCCCAAACCACTCTTGACGTGATTGCTTTAGACTATATAAGGCCTTGTTCAATTTACATACTACTCATGATTGTGAGAGTGATGTACCCTGGTGGAATATCCACATACAATTCCTCGTTAAGATTCCCATGTAGGAAGATGTTCTTCACATCAAATTGTTGTAAGGCCAATCTGGATTTGCGGCCAACGAAAGCAATACCCTTACTGTATTGATCTTTGTTACTGCAGTAAATGTCTCTGTATAGTCAATGTCATATGTTTGAGTATAATTCTTGGCGACCAATCATGGCTTTGTACATGATTGTATACACCTACTTGCACCTTACTCTTTATTTTTTTTCCTCTAGGTAATAAAACTAGATCCCACGTTTGGTTCTTTTGAAGTGCACTCATCTGACATCTCTTCTTCCATTGCTTTAGTCCACCTAGCATTGGTTATTGCTTCTTTCAATGAGCTTGAAACACAATCTTTGTTGTAGGAAAGCTTTACTGGGTTATGATAATTTATGTGATGACAAATAGTTGGTAGTGATATATTTGGACCTTTTTCTTTCACCCGGCGAGTATCATTTAGGTGGTTTTCCTCGATTTTGCCTGCAAGGTAAGTGATACCTTGAACTGTCCAATACATTAATAGGGGAAGTGAGACTTACTAGGGGTGGGCACGGTGCGGTTCGGTGCGGATCCACCCCTAAATTGGAACCGGAACCGAAATATATTAACGGTTCGATTCGGTGCGGTTCCACTTAAATTTATGACTAGAACATTACGGTTCGGTCTACACCGGTTCCGATTCGGTTCTTGCCGGTTTACGGTTCCTAATAATAAATTATTTGAACACCAAATCATTATGCATTCAAATACATCTTCTCAAACTGATTACATAAAGTTGCATACAACACATCTTTTTTAATGCAAATGTCTTTGGTAGTGGCACCAAGTCAACAAAAAGAGACAACTAAAATACATATGCACTGGTCAATCAGTCAACAAACAAAAAAATGATGAAACAAATTGCAAGTTTTCAGACTTCAGAGAGCAAGTAAGAAGCAGCAGCTCCTGTACACAATTTTTCAACCTATTATACCATGACATGTGTGTGTGTGTATATATAATTTATTTATTTATTATTAATAAAACGGTTTGGTTCGGTTCGGCCGGTTCTTGGTCGTTCAAAACCGGAACCGGAATCGGTTTGAACGATTCGGTTCGGTTTTTCACTTAAAGTTGACTTTTCCGGTCAACACGGTTTTTTTTGGTTTTTTTTCTTACGGTTCGATGCGGTTTTGCGGTTTGACGGTTTTTATGCCCACCCCTAAGACTTACCATAGGAATATTCTCAAGAGTATGGTAATTGATAAGAATTTTTACCACCTGCAAAAATAGGGATAAAAA